GTGTTTAAATTTGGGGTGGGGGGTTTTTTTGAGAAAAACCAACAAAATTTTTTTAATGCCAATTTTAAAAAAAAGGGGGGGGCCTTTTAGGATGAAACTTTTTTTTTTTTAATTAAAAAAAGGGGGTTAAAGGGTTATTGGCCCGGGGTTTTTTTTTTTTTTTTTTTTTTTTTTTTTTTTTTGATTGTTTATGTAAATTATTTCTAAATTGGTTCTAAATAATATTCCTCTTACTCTCGCTCAACACTATACATTTAGAAAAATGAATAGTGATATTATCTACATTTATATTTTAAAAACACACTCTAAACACTATATTTATATATTCATTTTAATAAATAATAAAATATTTGAAATGAAAGTGGGTTAGTGGTAAGAAAAACATTTTACAAACATATACCCCCAAATTAAACACACATTAATAAAAAAAAAACAAACAATAATATTAATCCCACACTACCTTTATAAGGATAAATTTATTTTAAAAAAACAACACAACAATGGTGTTATGTGTGGACACCCCAAGGGATGTGATGTTTTCCAAACTACAAATTTGGATAAAATTATAATTTTTCATTTTAAAGGATGTTGTACATTGTTTTTTATTGTATCGTATGAGCGAAGTGAGTTGGTTAGTGTGTCTGAATCAATTGAATTTAAAATATTAAATTTATTTTTTTCCTATTGTGAGTGTGTGAATGTGATACATCTATTTACAAATTTATTTTTATTTTATTGGTCATTTTCATTTTAAATTATATTGTTATTTTTAATTATGGATGTTTTATTTTTAAAAAGATATATGTGTTTTTGTGTGTGTGTTTTTGTGTTTTAAAATTTTTTTATCTTAATAAATCTATTTTTATATTTTTATTTTTAATTATTTTGGGGGAAAATGAGTGAAACAAGTTATTTTGATTTGATTTAAAATAAACAATCTATTCATATAGGTTTTGAGAACAATGTAATGTTTAAAATTATTATTTTTTTTCTGTTTTTTTTATTTAAAAATAATTATTATTTTAAAATGACATTGTTATTTTATGGATAACGTGTAATAGGAATTAGTTTAAAATAAATTATTTAAATTTTAATATTAAAATTTTAATATTAAAATTTTAATATTAAAATTTTAATCTAAAAAAAAAAAAAAAAAAAGATAATCTTAATGAATACAAGATTGCCTATACTCTGATTTAAATTTTTAATTAAATTTTTATATATTTTTGGAGTTCATCATTTATCTAAAAAAAGTTTTTTTTTTTTTTTTTTGTTTTAAGTTTATAATTTTTTTTCATATATCTTTAGTGAATTATTTTTTTTTAATATCTATTAAATAAATTAAGTGTGAATGTTGTGTATGTGTGTGTGATTGTGGTGGGTGTATATGTGTTTAAAACATGTTTAAATTTCTTAATTTATAGGAAATATCTATATCTATTTCATTTTAAATAAATTTTTGGTTTATACAAAATTTTAATTTATAAAATGAGAAAAAAAATTGATTGTGTCAATCAAAATTTTAAAGAGTAAAGATAGGGGTAGATGTGATTGTTATAAATATATCATAAATTTATACTTTTATGTTTATTAAGATAATATTACACCATTTTTTTTTTTATTGTTGTAAAAAAGATATTATTTTTAAATTTAAATGTAACCGATGGTTAGATTCATTGTATTGTTTCAACACTGGTAAAAGATGAAATGGTAAAAATTGTTTAATTTTCTGAATTATTTATAAAAAATAAAAAAAAAGAAATGTTACACACAAAAATTCAAAAATTTATTTTTCACATTTTGAATTTTAAATTTTTTTAATTTTTTGCGCCTTTGCAATAAAAAATTAACAGTTAAAAACAATTAAAAGCAGATCTTGATAAAATTTTTTAATTTTTTTTTTTTATTAAATATATTATCACACATATGTTTTATTAAATTTTTTTTAAAAATTAATACGGTGGGGAGTCTTTTATATTTTCAAATAAATAGATAATAGTTATATTATTAAATAAATAAAAATAAATTAAATAAATAAATTAAATAAATAAATAAATAAATAATAAATAAATAATTATATATTAGATTAAACATAAATTGGGTATGCATGACATTGATGTACCAATTCAAATAAATATGCTATTCCTTCCACCAACAAACGAAATTATTAGAGTTGATAGTAACTCTAAACAACAGCAACAACAGCAAATAAATAATGAAAATGAAAATACAATAAATATTAATAACAATAATAATAATAATAAAGATACAGTTACAAAAGCACCACCAACCAATACAAACACGTCATCTGATTGGACCACCAAGTTTAGTAACTTATTCTCACAAATTACAAAAAAAAAGAAATCAAATTACGAATTAGAAATTGATGCATTAAAAGATGCTTGTAAGTGGATTCTAATTTTTATTTTTAATTTTATAATTTTTTCAAAATTCTAATTATTTTTTTATTTTTTTAGTTTTATTAAATAAACCAATTAACAATGAAGAGGGTATTTTAATCTATACACTAAACAAAACAAAAAAATATATTCATTCTTTAGCAGAATTAGATATTGGTTATGTATATTTAACTGAAAAGGAAACACCAATTATAAGACAAAATGAAGATGAAATTATTTTAGCAAATAAAATTATTATTCAAGCAAATACAATGAAACATTTTTCGATTGTAAGTTTTTTATTTTAATTATAAAAAAAAAAAAAAAAAAAAAGAAATAAACTAATAAAATATTTATATTTTATAGAAAGGAATATTACAAGTTGAAATTGCTACATTAGCAGTCGAAACATTTACAAAAAGAAAGCTGTCACAAGGTCATTTGTTATTAGAAGAGGATGGATTGTTATGTGCTATTATTTATAAAATGGATCAATTAATAACAGATACTATTTATTGTAATCAAGATGATACAGTTATGTTACAACGTTTACCAGGCAACGACGGTATTAGATTCCGTTTTAGTGGCGAATATAATAAACAACAAGTTCAACAGGCTATGTTGGCATTCTCGCAACCATCAGATCCATTGGTCTGGAAAAGAATTATTGTACTAAAGGAACAGCAACATCATTCAAGTACCAATTTTACTGGTGATAGTGTTACCACTCGTTTCTTAAATAGACTTTCGACAAAAAGCAAAGAGGAAATTAATGAACTTAAAGCCAAAAGAGAAAATACCATTTTGAAATTAAAGAACCGTATGAAAATTGATTGGGAATGGAAATATACCTCCAGTTCAACTGAAGTACCAGAACCACCAACCTTTATCGATAATATGGTTAACCGTGTCAAAGAAAAAATTTCAAGTAATAACAAGTTATCAGATTTATTAAATTCAGCAAAAAAATCAGCTGTACCAAAGGATACCACCTTATCAAACCCACCAAGTCCATTTTTAGATAGTGCTAATAAAATTACTGCTGCCACTGTTAAAAATGAAAATGAAATTATTAAAAAATCAATTTCTACACCACAAGAAGAGGATATACTCCCAGACTTTGCCTCATTATCTTTAGGATCAGACAACCCAGCTCCAATTTGTGCTCCACCACCACCTCCACCTCCACCTCCACCACCACCACCACCAGCTGTTATGAAATTACAACGTAACGCATTAAATACACCAAAGAAAGCTGGTGGATCTTTAACTCCAATGCAAAAGAAAATGAGACAACTTCATTGGAATGCTATTCCAAAAGAAAAATTAAAAGAAACATTCTGGGAAAATCTTTCACCTGTTAAAGGTAATGATAATGATCAAACTTTAGTAGAATCATGGTTTTCACTTTCTCCTTTAGCTAAAGATAAATTAAATGCATCAAACAACTCTTTAGCCTCATCATCAAACTCTGTCGAAGCACCCATTCCAAATATCAAAGTTACTATCCTTGACTTACGTAGATCCAATAATATCTGTATTCTTTTATCACAATTCAAGTTATCATACGGTGCAATCAAAGAGGCCGTCCTCTGTTTCGATAACGATAAACTCTCTGTAGAACAATTAATTGCTCTTGATGCCATGTTACCAATCACCGAAGAAGAGTACCTTTTATTAAGTGCATACAATGGAGATAAAGATAATGTTGGTAATGCCGAAAGATTCTTATTGGAAATGATGTCAATTAACCACTTACAACAAAAAATTAAATGCTATCTCTTTAAACTCGAGGTTGATTCCCTTATGCAACAAATCCAAGCTAACCTCGAAACTCTTTCAAAAGCCATCAACCAATTACGTGAAAGTAAGAAGTTTATAAAGGTATTAAAAGTTATATTCCACATTGGTAGTATCTTAAATCGTGGTACCTATCTTAACTCCACCAAAGGTTTTAAACTAGACTCATTATCAAAGCTTTCAGAAACCAAGAGCAAAGATCAAAAACATACTGTTGTAGATTTTATAGAAATATATATCCGTGAAAATCAACCAGAACTTTTACAATTCTATAATGAATTAGATTTAGTAGAAAAAGTTGCACAATTATCATTGGAAAGTATTTTAGAGGAAGTTTCTGATATTGATAATAAATTTAAACAAGTTCAAGAAGAAATAAGCTATCATGAAACCATACCAGAATCACCAATTCACAAAGATACCTTCAACGAAATTATGAAGCCATTCTATACAACAACAAATACAACTTTTAATACATTAAAACAATTCTCCCAAGATACTCAAAAGCAATTCCAAGACTGTTGCATCTATTTTGGAGAAGATGGCACAATCTCATCAAAAGATTTCTTTTCAAATATTATTAAATTTACAATTTCATTTAAAAATAGTAATTTAAAACAATCAAAATAATCATACAATAATAATCATAAAATTATTTATACATTTGAAAATCTTAATTGATTTCCAAAATAAAAAATAATAATAAAAAAAAAAAAATAAAACAAAAATTTAAAAAAAAAAAAATACATTTTAGTTTTTTATTTCTTTTTATTTGTTTGTTTATTTAAATGATAACATATTTAATTCATTTATTAAATCCACATATTGTTTTGCTTGACTATTTAATACATAAAAGTGTCTTGAACGACCTTTAGAGTTTATTATAAAATGTTTTGAAGATTTGAACTGAGCAGATGAGTTATCAACACCAATTTCACCTTTTTGAATCATTTTTATTGGATCTACATAAAATATTCTTGGAGTATCTGTTATAATAAGTTGTCTTTCTTTCTTGACTAATCCTGATCTTTTTAGAGTTAAACTACATGCTAGAATGATTTCATCGTTGGGTAATAAAAAACTATTCCATTGTTGCAATGATTCATTTAGTTGTTGTTCGTTTCTAATTTCTTTTTTTTTTTCTTTATTCATTAATATTAACTCTGTTGGTTTTAATAATATTGTAGATTCATTGTTGTCGGAATTTGTAGATTTATTTAAATTGCTACTGGATAAATGTTTATCGAATAAAGAAAATGTTTGTTTTTGAAGTAATTGATGTTGGTTATGATGATTTGATAAAAATGTTGGTGATGGTGTTGTAGTGGATGCTCTTTCTCTTTGTTGAGGTTTGGTTAATAAGTTACCAGTTGATGATGATGTTAACATATATTTATTATTATTTGTATTATTATTATGAATTGGGTCAATGGTATCTGGTGGGGTTGCCGTTGTTGCTGTCGTTGGAACTACATCTGGTACGATTAATGTTGTTATATTCATATTTGTATTTAATGTGTTGGATAGGCCACTATCTTCTATATTGCCGCCACTATGATGACTATTTATACTTTCGTTTGATTTTATTAATGAAACTGGACCATTGTTTTGAATATTTAGAGGTTTTAATACAATAGGTGGTTGTTTGGGTTGTTGGTAAAGCTGTGGTGATGAAATCGATCTTCTTTTTCTTGTTGAGCCAGGTGATGGAAATGGTGATAGAGGTTCATTTGGTATGATTGGTGGTGGAGTTTGCTCTGATAATGTATCCCACTGTATACCTTTAAAAAATGGGTGCTTTTTGATTTCTGCAATTGTTGGTCTTTTGTAGGGATCTAAATTTAACAACTGATCAACCAAATTACAACATGTCGCATCAAAGTTATCTGGAAATTGGAATTCTCTTTTTGTAATTAATAAAAATGTTTGATATTCATTGAATCCCTTGAATGGTAATTTACCACTAACCAATTGATACAAAAGGCACCCAAATGACCATATATCAGCTTGTTTTCCTGCTGATTTTTCTGTTAATAACTCTGGGCATACATACTCTGCTGTACCACAAAATGATCCTGATCTACTTTTATTATCCAATCCTAAAACTTTTGCTGACCCTATAAAGATAGTAAGTATATTAAAAAATAAAATAAAACAATTTTAAAATAGTTCTAAATACATACCAAAGTCACTAAGTTTTAAATGTTTATTTTTACCTAATAAAATATTTTCTGGTTTTAAATCTCTATGCGCTATACCTCTTGAATGCAAATACTCTAAAGCAATTAATATTTCTGCAGCATAAAACTGAGCCACACTGATCTGAAAACAACCAGCGATTTTAATTTGGTCCAACAAATCACCATTTGGACAATACTCTAGAATAAAATATAGATTTATTTCGTCTTGAAAAGTATAAAATAATTTTACAATATTTGGGTGCTCCAATGAATCTAAAATTGTTTTTTCTGTATTTACATATTTTGCTTTTTTTTCTTTAATTACCAATTTTTTGTTTAATATTTTAGCTGCAAAAACCCTTTTTGTTTCAATTTCTATTACCAATTTAACCTAAATTTGAAAAAATTTGTTAAAAGCTATTATTATTAAAATTTTTTTTTTTTGTTGCAACATGTTTTACCTTTCCATATGAACCTTTTCCTATGGTTTTAATAAATTCAAAATCTGATTTACATTTCTTTGTTATAACTACACCTTGAATATCGTTACTACCTAAATTCCCCTGATCCTCTTTATCCTGATTTTCTTCTAATTGCTTTACCTGTTCTTTTTGTTGGGACATAAATGACAATGTTCTATCATTTTCATTATTATTTTGGTTATTGGTATTATTATCATCTATTCTATTATTTGTTTCAATAGATACACTATTATTTATATCGGGGTGATCCTCTGATATTGTTGATGATATTGTCGATGATGATAGAGATGTTGGTGTTGAAGTGGTATAATCATCAGAAGTTGTAAAATTTCCATCCTTGCTACTTGTAATGCTATAAGAATCGTATGTTTTAGACGATAAAGAATGAGTTGAATTATTTTTATCTATATTAAAATTATTTTTGAAACTTTTTTCTAGGGAACAATTAATATTATTTATATTTGTTTGAATTTTATTATTTTCATTTTTATTATTATTGTTCATTTTTGATCTGATATTTATTTAATTTATCAAAAAATAATTTACATTAATACTATTTTCTTTTTTTTTTTTTTTGATTATAATAATTTAATAAATAACTAACTAATAAAACAATTGTAAAAATAAATATATATTTAAAAAAAAATAAAAAAAAATAATTAAAAAATTTAAAAAATTTAAAAAAATTATTTAATTTATTTGTGGTTATTTGTGTGTTTATTCTTTATTATTAATTATTATAACTACTTTAATAAACAATTTTATCATCTATATTAATTTTATTTATAACTTAATATGTTGTTGGGGTGGGTTAAGATTTTAATTTTAAATTTTAAATTGATAAACAAATATTATATTTATTTGTTTTTTTTTTAAAAATTTAAATTTAAATTGAAAAAAAAAAAAAATTAATTTTTTTTTTAAACACTTACCCAAAGAAATGAATCTGTTTTTTAACATTGTGTTATTAAAATAGTCTCATTACATATAAGTAAATATATTTCATATACATTGATCATCCCTAAAAAAATTTAAAATTTAAATGAAAATAATATTTTGAGAAAGAAAAAAATATATTGGTTTGTAAAAAGGCTGGGTTTGTTTTAAATTAAAAAAAAAAAAAAATATATTAAATTTAATTGAATTAATTTTATTTTTTTATTTTTTTAATTTATTTTTTTTTCTAAAATTTTTTTTCCAACAATCACATTGATATTTAATAAATTTTTCTTTTCTCTTATTTTTTATTATTTATTATCTTTTATTTCTTTTATTTCATAAATATGTTCAAAGTTTTATTCAACTCTAAAAAAATCCAATCAGTTGGTCATCAAACATTTTTGAATTTTAGAGCCTATTCAACAACAAGTATGTATATCCCATTGGTTTTTTTTTTTTTTTTTTTTTGAAGATCCAATATTATTGAATATGTAAAAAAAAAAAAAAAAAAAAAAAAAGATTAAAATAAATTAATATTTTTTTATCCAGAAAAAGGTAGATTAGATGGAAAAGTTGCATTAATTACAGGTGGAGCAGATGGTGTAGGTAAAGAATCATCACTTTTATTTGCAAAAGAAGGCGCCAAAGTTTTAGTAGTTGATCTAAATGAAATCAAAGGAAAAGAAGTTGTAAGCCAAATTAAAGCCAATGGTGGAGAAGCCTCATTTTTCCGTGCTGATGTCAGTAAAGCCGCTGATGTTAAAGAAATGGTTGAAGCTGCAGAAAAAACTTTTGGTAAATTGAACATCCTTTTTAACAATGCCGGTATTATGATCTCTGAAGATGATGACTCTGTTAATACTACCGAAGAAGTTTGGGATAAAACAATGAATGTTAATTTAAAAGGTGTATTTTTAGGATGTAAATTTGGAATTCCAGCCCTTAAAAGAGCCGGTGGTGGTACAATCATTAATACTGCAAGTTTTGTTGCTTTAATGGGTGCTGCAACCCCTCAAATTGGTAAATATTCAATTATTAAATAAATATAGTTAATAATAATACTAATGTATTTTTTTAATAAACCCTATTTAAATATTAGCCTATACTGCTAGTAAAGGTGGTGTATTAGCATTAACTAGAGAATTAGCAATTATCCACGCAAGACAAAACATCAGAGTCAATGCATTATGCCCAGGTCCATTAAGAACCGAACTTTTAGATAAATTCCTTAATACTGATGAAAAAAGAAATCGTCGTTTAGTTCATCTCCCAATGGGAAGATTTGGTTATGCAAATGAAATAGCAAATGGTGCCTTATTCCTTGCAAGCGACGAGGTAAATATCTTTTTTTTTTTTTTTTTTTTTTTTTTATACTAATATTTTTTTTTTCATAATTTAGTCAAGCTATGTAACTGCCAACACCTTCTTAGTTGATGGTGGCTTAACATCATCATATGTAACTCCAATTTAAAACCTTTTTTAGATAATGTAAAAAATATAAATAAAAAACACAATTATAATATAAAAATTATCCCTCCAAAAAACTTTTTTTTTTTTTTTTTTTAAAAAAAATAAATGTAAATTTTTTAAATTTTTTTTTAAAAAATTTAATAAACAAAACATAAACAAAACATAAACAACAATATTATTAAAAAAGAAAACTATAGAATTAAATTAATATGGAAACACAAGAACCACAGCTAAGAAACTCACAAAAAAGTTCAAAGAGGAAAAAAAAATCAACAAAATCGATAAATACATCATCCATAATACAAGATCAAATAAACTATAATAACTTTACTCCAATGGAAACAGAAAATATCAATATTAATAACAACAACCCTAGTAATAATAATAATAATAATAATAATAATAATAATAATAATAATAATAATAATAATAATAATAATAATAATAATAATAATATGTATAATAGCAATTTAAATAATAATAGTATTGGCTATAGTCAACATCCACAAAATAACATGGCAAATAACCAATCTATAAATCAACAACAGCAACAGCAACAGCAACAACAATCAAATTTTGAAGATATATATTCAGATGAATATTGTGAAAATCAAATGAAATTTATTGAAATCTATATTAAAAAATGGAAAGAAAATTATATTGAAACTATGAAAGCTAATATTGAATTTCACAGAGAAGAACATCAAGCATTTAATGAACAATTAAATGACTTAAAATCTGAAAGAGTATTTTTAAACAATTATAAAGAATCAAATTTAAGAATAATAGAATCACAACAACAGCAACTTCAACTTGTAAAAAACGAGATTAAATCAATTGAAAAGAATCGGGATCAATTACCATTAGATTTAGATTTCAGAAAAATTAAATACGATGAAGAATCACAAAAACTTTCAAACCTATCAGATACAATTAAATCAATTGAAGAGCATTCAAACAAACTGTTAAATGATATTTCAACACCACTACTCCAATTTAAAAAATATTTAGGTTTAGATTTTAAAAAATTAGAGAGTAATTAATCAATATGGGGGTACCCCTATATACTATTAAAAGAAAAAACAATATACTAATAAAACTTCTTATTATTAAAAAAACTATAGATAATGAAGGTTTAAAGTTTATTTTTACGCACATAGATAAAAACAACTATTTTAAAGAATTTTCAATTTCAATTTCATTGGATAAGAATACAGAGGACTATTTCATTGTAGATTGCACCCCAATCATCCCAAATGCATCCCAACTTATTAAAACTTTAAATAGTACTGGTAATCTTTCGAGCTTTATTAAAAGAGTTAGAAAGCAATTTGTAAATATAACCAATAATATATCAACATCAACAACAACAGCAACAGCAACAAAAAACTCAAAAAATTTTAATAATATAAATAAACAAGAAAAAAAATAAAATTTAAATCTATTGTTTTAAAACTATATGGTTTTATTTATATATGTACAAAATAAATTGTTTTTTATTAGAAATTTTTATTTGATATTCTTTCAAACAATTGATTCGAAACTTCTATCGATTTAATTTCTTTTTCGTTATTAGCTTGGTCAGTTTCATTTATATTTAAATCATTCATTCTATCCAAAATTGACTTTTGAACTGAAATTGATGTTTGTTTATTGCTATTGTTATTATTAATACTATCATTATTATTGTTATCGTTATTACTTTTTAAAACTTGGTAATTGTAATCTAAAATTTTTCTTTGTTGATTTATCATATTTATATTTTCGATATTATTAAAATCAGTTGATAAATTTGAGTCTATTGATTTTAATAAACCTATATCGTTTTCTAAATTTTGCATTTTAATTTTATTATTACTATTATCATTTGTAAGCTTTTGAATATTTGTTCTGAGATCTTCCAACTCTTTATCTAAAATATTTATTGATTTATTGTATAAATGTGCTGTGCTATTGGTCGTTTTAGTTGGTTTTGAGGCTGATAGATTTGAATTTTCGTGTGGCAAAATTAAATCGCTTGGTATATTAAATATATCTGATATTAAGTACTCTTCGTATTTATTAAGATTGTTTGTAAATATTTCTTCGAGTAAACCCCAAACTTTATCTGTACCCTAAATTATACAATTTTATATTAATAAAATTATGTCTAATAGAAATAAGTTTTTTTTTTAATTTATTTATTTATTTAGTTTACCTCCTGTATTACATCTTTGTATTCCTGTTTATTACTAAATAATGGGTGCCCTAATAAGCAACTCTCTATAAAATCTGCACTATCTGCACAATAATCATGGGCTGATTCGTGAACATCGTCTATAAAACTAAATGGGTGAAAACCAAAAAATTCACTTTCTCTTTTCATATAATTTTCATCCAACATAGCATCATTATCTATTATATCTTGACTCTCATTATTTTCATTTTCTTTGCCTAAATCCATTTCTGGCTCTTCTTCTTTTTCTTGTTGTTGTTGTTGTTGTTGTTGCTCCTGTTGCTGTTCTTCTTCTCTTTCCTCCTCCTCTGCAGATATGTAGTACATTTCTTCATTTTCTTTGTTATATGATCTTGTTCTGTATCTATTTTTATATGACCTTTTGA